ATTTCGATATTATTGTAGGGTCCCTCATCTTGTGTAAAGAATTCGTCCTTCAGTTGGAAATAACAGTTTCATACACAGCAACAGTAATTCCATAATTACTTCTATAGGTATATTTATTCTCTCTTTCAGGTTCCCGTCTTCGGATAGCTTTCTCTGTTGGTCTAATGGCTTTCCACGTCGAAGCTAATTAATTGATCTTTGTGTGTGACTTCAATTGACCCTAGTAGTTTGACGAAATTCCTTAAATGCTTCATAAAATACGATGGTTTTCCTTGCAAGGGTTGTATTATGGGAAGTGAAAATGAGTAGCAGAATCTCTGGAGCTGATGATCGGTCTAAACGGAACGTCCTCCTTGTGGATTTTGGGTAATCCATACAAGTGAGGGGGCTTACTATGGTACGGTGTTAGCGATGATCTTTCCTTGTCCGAAAAATAGACTTGGTGTTATTTCAAAATCTGGTACAACTTCTTTACAATTGATGCAGTAGGGTCCCGTACGATCTTTGTGTATCGTCCCTTCTGAAGAACCTCTTTGATCTTCTGTTCGTAGAGAACAGTATCCATCACCACAGTAGCGTTTCCTTCATCTGCAGGTAGAATCTTGATTGTCTTGTCTCTACGTAGGCCTTTCAGAGCTCTACGTTCTTCATTGCTGATGTTAGATGTTGGAACTGGTTATCGATCCAGCTGTTCTCTAATTTTCCATCTGAATTATTCTGCCTTGGTCTGGTCAATAAGGGAACTGGTGGATTCCACTGCCGTAATTATCTCCAAAGTGGACACAGATCTTGGCACAATGGCGATATCTAGGCATTTCCACAACAAGGATTCCTCTATTCCCGAGAGCGAGCGGGCGGGAACTTCTCACTCACTTCCCCCACTTTCTGTTGTGAGTATTCTCCATGTCTTGGCGGATCTTCAAAATACGTGCTTTCAATTTCGGCAAAGATTGGTCCATGATAATCTTCCAATGTCTCTCTTCTTATTTCTTCAAAACGTTCTGTGGCATCCTAAACGGAACGTAATCCTCTTGAAGATTATCACTTGCTGATTGAAACACCTGTTGAGGTGTTGATAATAACGGTGTTGGGACTAAACTCCGGTAACATTCACGACTATTGGGATTTATATTTTCATTAAAACTTTCAGTTTACCTTTTCAACTTAATCTTCCACTAATGTGAACTGGGTCCATAACCTGATGAGTTGATTAATTGAAAATAAATATGTGAATCTCTGAGAAATAAATTCAACTATATTGACACTGACAAGTCAATGCTTTCCCGCCTACCTTATGCAAGCATATCTATCAGGTTCTTCATGATTCAGATATAGTTGATTCCCGAACCATTTTTGGTTTTTATTGGAGATGATTTTCTCAATTGAGTTGACTGGAATATGGTTGTCAAATGCTACCTGCTTTATTTTCTTGATATCTTCTTGAATAGCCTTCTCTGATGAAGGAATCATAAATGCTTTATGTATCATTGATCTGAATGCAGATAATTTATGTGATAATGGACTGAAAGGATCCCTGGGGATTGTATAGTCCATTATAGTTTTTCTATCTTATATTCTTAATAAATTTCTACAAAATCGGATGAGTCATCAATTGAACAAACAATATTTCAAGATTCATCATTTCAAAGTCCTTGTCTTCAATTATCAGAATATATTAGTTTAATAGAAAATGGCAGTGAAGGTTACTCAGCGCATATGACTCCCAGATGCAATAATCACCCACTTAATGCGAACAAAGAATGATGTTTGGAATACATCATGTTCTCTGATGAAGTATCATCTGAGCAATCCATAAAAAATCATTTTTCATTTCTCAACCCTGTATTCTGGACATAGCAAGGCTACATGCTGAAAAGGCCTCTGATACATTTGTTACTCATCCTACTTCAAAAATCAATGACACACTCCAAATACAAGGTTTATTATCACAACGTAAACACTTGATTAAAACAATTATTCATCATCTGATAAAACAATAAAATCATGATTTGAAATTTTTATTGGCGGCGAAATCAGTGGAATCAGTTCATAATATCATTTCTTGAATCATTACACCTAATGAAAATTTTCGTAGTTTTCGACTAGAGATGTGCATTTTTGTGTTATAAAGTCTCCACAAATTTAGACGTTACTTTGAAGTTTCTGAGTTGATTAGTCTTCACCATCTCATTTCGTATTTTGAAATAATCGTGTACTACCTCATTCATTGCCATAACACTTATTGTGGATATATTGGTCAAACGTCGAGGTTTTTCTAGCATTGTGTTTCTTGACATACAGTGTTATTCTTTAATGTCCCCCTTTCATATTTTGAACGGATCAACTCAAAAATTGAAATTTTGGATAATGAAATCAATGCATGAATACTTCATTTTGAAGTAAAATTGACAGATGAAACTTTCAAGATGGCGACAGGGCACCATCTGGAAAAAAAATTAAATAGAACACATTTCATTTTGAAGTTCCTGACGAATACTTCACAACCCTAGAAAATTAAGTCAATATCTTTACCTACTACAAAATGGCGGAACATTTAATAATTTCCTGAAGACAAACACATTAATATCGATATTTCTAGAAATATTCCTTTTTATCTGTATATTCATATCGAATTCATTAGGATTCGCTTCGAAGAATTCAGTGATGAGAGGGTCAACATTAGTTTTCAGCATATTGAAATACAGTTCCCTGTTAAATTTCGAACAATAAATAGAGGTCCTACAATAGGGTTTTTCAATATTCCTGTCCAAACGTTATTTTTTTTTAGATATTGGGTATGTGGAAACGTGAGGGTTGGTGTCACTCCAATAACGGCAATTTTGTCTGTGGAGATTGCCGTTTGAAAAAAATGTACATTCGTCACTTAAACAAATATTGTGGAGATTGGTAGGATGCCTTGCAATGGTTTTCGTCATTATTTCGCAGAATTGATCTTCAGTCAGTACGTGTACCATTTTAATTTTGTATGGATGATACCTATTCCTCTTCAAAAGTCTCCACACAATACAAGGCAGTAGAAGAAGACACCTCACAAACATTCACAACGGAATAAGTAGACTGTTCAGGATTTACTACCATCCCACCAAATATTTGCAATTGCTGTTCTTCCGTAATGGACGGATGACCTGAGGGCTTTTTGTTGTGTAAACTACTGGTAGTTGTGAATTTGGATACAAGTTCTATATAAGAATATTCGAAAAACGTTCACTGAAAATCCTTTCGATCTCGTGAAAGTTGCGCGTCGCACCGTAAATAAAAATTGCTTCAATTTTTTCTTCCAATGGACGCGAATTGACCATTTCAGAGATTGTTGACCTGTTGTTCTATTAGTAAAACCGAAAACTAAATGAGACTATATTCCAATTGAATAGTGATGTTCATTGTTGTACTAACATTTTCTGTCGTTTTTATAAACAAACACTCACTTAACAACCTTATCAGGTTGTTGGAACTGCCATATGGCAGAAAAAAAAAACATTTCTAGAAATATCGACAATACTGTTAAATGTTTCGCAATTTTGTTGTAGGTGAAGATATTGACTTCATATTCTAGAGTTGTGAAGTATTCGTCAGGAGCTTCGAAATGTGTCACAAGGCCTCCCTTTCCATAATTTTTTCCCAGATGACGCTAAGCCGCCATCTTGAAAGTTTCATCTGTCAATTTCAACATTCCAAATTTCAATATTTTGAGTTGAATGTTCAAAAAATAAAAGGGGGCATTGAAGAAATACACTGTGAATATGGTAATAGATGGCATTCTGATTAATCTCCCAGTAACCATGTTTTCTGAGAAGGTCACGTGATAGAGGATAATTCACTGAAATTTTATTTGAACAAAATAGTTTCAAGAGAATGTTCCTGAAACTGACTTTCATTGCTGACTCTGTAACCTACCTTATCAGAAGGCCATTGAGATCTCAATGTTTTCACTGATATTGTTGAACATTTTCATAATTTTGATTATGAATTTGAATGTCTACCTTGATTTTGTTTCAGAATGAAAATTTACATTTTTCTGCATGAGTTGTATGATATTTTCCTTTCCTAATTTCATTTCATATTTCACTTTCAAATTTTAATTTCTCAATAACGTCGAGGTTGAGCATAAGTTAGTTGGAATCGGTATTATTGAATAACCTTTCACGGTCGAAGTCAAGATTAAAGATAATGAAACCGGGGCTGAAGTTTTTCAGGTCTACAGGCCAGAATTTTGAATCGAAACCTTTTCTGGTTTACCTGAAAATTAACCCAAGTCGAGACTGATAGAATCCTGTATATTTTTTAGAACATTTGTGAAGACATATTTTTTCCAAAGATCATTCGTTTTCAAAATACTTGCATTGAAGCTATTTTGTTCAATTTCAATATGGCAGCACTATTACATAATCAATGAAAAAATTTTCAATAAATTCATTTTTCAGAAAAAAATCGAAAATCGAAATTTTACACCAATTCACGTAGGTGCACTTTTTTATTTCTTCGAAATCAAATTGTTGACGCAAAAACCTTGAAAAGATTTTTTGAGCTGCACGTTCTTCATATTTCTTCCACTACAAAAAATGTCAAAGACACTATTCTGAGTGAATATTTATTGATTCCCAATGAAGTCATTTTTGAAATATACGACCAAGTTCACCAAAGAGATCAATACAAAAGTATGTCAACATACTTGCTGTGTTGGAACTAAATATCCCCAGAATTCACTGTTTGATGTAGTGTGTCATCAATTTAAGGGAAGTGTGTTTAGCAAAACTAAGGATCGATTTATTTCATTCAGATGCTGAAATATTTCTCAAGTAACAATAGAAAGAAAGAAGAAAGAAATGCTTTATTGACTACGATATGCACAATATACATGGGTAGTACGTCAATTTACAAAGAGTGTTGAAACATCCCGTGTAAGTAAAATTCCATAAGTCAGGTGGCTATGAACAAGAGAAAAGTAGGAAATCATGAGTATATCTGTGCTGACAGATCTTTTCAGTCTTCTCATGAGAAAGAGTTGACAAGCCAGCTTCTTCGAAAGAATATCAATATGATGGGACCATTTAAGTGACTGGTCTAAAGTAATACCTAATAGTGTGTTCAGCAAAACTCAGGATCGATTTATTTCATTCAAAAGCTGAAATATTTCTCAGGTAACAATACTTTGAAAGCAGACATTTTGTTGACAAATCGTTTTCACTATCAAAAATAATATTGAATATTTTTCGATTTTGTAACTAATAGTTCGGTAAATAAATTCTTCTCTTTTTTCGTTTCAGTTAATATGGGAATGTTTTCAGTAGGCAGCCACTCTGGATGGCCCTCAAGTTCACTGCCAATACTGACCAGTGAGAATTCCACAATCCACTTGACAACACAGGAAGGTTCATTACTAGTATCTATCACACCGTTAACGGTACCTTTCGGGTGCGCAGTGACGACGATTTTGATGAAGTTAGTGGGAAGAAAAACATTGTTGCTCTTTTTGCCAATTCCACTCACGGCATCTTGGTTATTCATTGCCATGGCTACCTCAAAAATCCATTTGTACATCGGAAGAGTTCTTGGGGGATTCACTGATGCCGCCATATTCAATGTCGGTCCTGCATATTTATCAGAAATAGCTGACCCTGAAGTTAGAGGATTTTTTGGTACTTCACAGACGGTATCATTTGGTCTTGGTATATCATTATTCAACGTATTTGTTACATTCATGTCATCGGAGGCGGTAGCATATCTGCTAGCAGCACTAACTCTCATCATGTATATCACAATACCATTAGTACCGGAAAGTCCATACTATTGCTTGTTGAAAGGAAATACTGAAGAGGCAGCGCTCAGTCTGAGAAAGCTGAGAAGCAAGCAAGACATTCAGGAAGACCTGGACCGAATATCCAAGAGTATATTGGAACACGGAGATGATAAAGGAAAAGTAACAGATATGTTGACAAAGAAGCATTTCAGGCGATGTCTTTGGACTATTTTAATTTTATCCTTCACTCAGCACTTATCCGGAAATTATGCAATTCAAGCATATTATGAAACAATATTTGAGAATAGCGAAACCATGTCTCCTCGAGTGGCAAATTGTGTTTATTACGTGGTGTTCTCCATTGCAAGCATAGTTTCACCACTTTTGGTAGACATTTCTGGCAGGAAACCACTTTTACTCCTCTCTACAGGGTTAACCGCATTGACTTTGTTCGCAATTGGAATTTTCATGTATTTCAAAAGTTCTTTGAATCTTGACACGCGTTTCGAATACGTACAGTTATTGCTGTTCCTTCTTCAGGCCATAGCATTCAGCGCTGGGCTTCATACAATACCTTGGTTGGTAGCAAGTGAGATTTTTCCATCCAACCTGGTGGGAACAGCACTTTCTATAGCTAATAGCATCTACAGTGTTTCAATGCCTGCAACTGTTTTCATGTTCGAAAAGACTTACTATTCAATTGGTGTTTATGTTCCCTTTTTTCTGTATGGGATTTTTTGCGTTATTGGAATGGTGTTGATTCCAATTTTCTTGGTTGAAACAAAGGGAAAATCTTTGGAAGAGATACAGAGAGAGATCAGACGAACGAAACCAAAGACAGAACAGAATCTCAACTTACAAGTGAATGATATGTTCAAAAAATCTCCATTAGATTATATACCATCCCACTAAGAATACTTAATCTACAATGTCATCAATTATATGGAAGTTAGGTTTGAATAAGTCATTCTAGTGGATATGAAGACGATATCCATGTGATGATGGTTCAATACGTGTGGAAGTTTCTGTTCATGGCCCTTTGATGTAACGTTTAACCCGAGTTTACACCGAATAAATGAAATTATTTGATTGAATTTTATATAGTTATATCCAGGCAATATATCATTTCATATTATTTAAAACAAGGTATTACACCAAACAAAAACAATTGTATTCGTTCCTTCTCCATTATATTTATGGGTAAAATTTTGGTACCAACAATTACAAAGCATTTTCATGAATTGAGAAATTCGTTTCTATGAACAAATTCCATTTATTTTTTTTTCCAAAAACTCTCGATGAATACCCAGTTTGTTTTATGATTTCGAAAGAGAATAGGGAATTCCTGAATTTCGATTGATTGGATTTGAGAAATAGAAATGTAATTTGACGAAATTTGTAATGTATATCATGAAATGAAAATAGAAATAGATGACAAAGATAATACTGGTAAGAAAACGATATTACAAGTATCAATTATTTCTAGGGATATATAGACATATTTAGTGGAAAACCATAGGCACGTGTTTCGGGCTTTTGGCTCATCATCAGTATGGTGTAGCCAAGTGTAAGGATGGGCAACACTTGGTTACCAGAAGAAAGAAATACAAATTCACGGAGCCACCAGAGGAGCCAGCCGCACATTTGTGATTTCAGTTATAGATCTTGTGTTTACAAAAAAAACTATAAAAATCACCACGGAGGCAGCTATAGCTACGTTATCGAGTGTCTTGATATAAATAATAAAGTTATTAATCAGACATAGCACTCAAGGAAGTGGCAAACCATTGACACGTTTTTCGGGCTTTTGGCCATCATCAGTGTGATGTAGCCAAGTGTGAGGATGAGCAACACTTGGTTACCAGAAGAAAGAAATACAAATGCACGGAGCCACCAGCAGGAGCCAGCCGCACATTTGTGATTTCAGTTATAGATCTTGTGTTTACAAAAAAAACTATAAAAATCACCACGGAGGCAGCTATAGCTACCTGCGTGACATCCGGCACCAGGAAATAATACAAATACGAAGGTTATCGAGCGTCTTGATATAGATTAAAGAGTGATTAATCAGACGTAGCACTCAAGAAAGTGGCAAACCATAGACACGTGTTTCGGGCTTTTGGCTCATCATCAGTATGGTGTAGGCAAGTGTTAGGATGGACAACACTTGGTTACCAGAAGAAAGAAATACAAATGCACGGAGCCACCTGCAGGAGCCAGCCGCACATTTGTGATTTCAGTTATAGATCTTGTGGTTACAAAAAAACTATTAAAATCATCACGAAGGCAGCTATACCTACCTGCGTGACATCCGGGTCCAGAAAATAATACAAATACGTACGTTATCGAGTGTCTTGATATAAATAATAAAGTTATTAATCAGACATGGCACTCAAGGAAGTGGCAAACCATTGACACGATTTTCGGGCTTTTGGCCATCATCAGTGTGGTGTAGCCAAGTGTGAGGATGAGCAACACTTGGTTACCAGAAGAAAGAAATACAAATGCACGGAGCCACCTGCAGGAGCCAGCCGCACATTTGTGTTTCAGTTATAGATCTTATGTAACGATCCTGTGTTATAACGAATGTTTGGAGTACAAACTGAATAGGTAAAAGTGTTTTGTGTAATTCAATGTTTGAATGAAAGTGAATGTTTTTTCCAGTATGTGTCTGAAAATGACTTTTACAGATTTTTATGTGGAGTTTTTCCAAAATTAATTGTTTTATACCTTCATCTGGAAGTTTTCCACATTTTGTTCAAATATGTATAAAGGAGTAGAAAGCTCAAACCTTCATGTCCTATCTAATTATCTCTCACTTACAATATAGAAAGCAATGGATTACTTGGAATAGAATTTGTCCACTTATCAATTCTGATTCTATTCAAGATGGATAGTAATTAACAATTTTCAACAACCCATTTTTTGACCGGTTTTTGGTTTTTTGTTTTCTATTTTTTGCGGTACTAATGAAATTGGCACCCGTTTGTCTGACCCCTTATAATCCGAAGGTTCAGAAAAGTTTGAAGGAGAAAATCCTTTATTTTGTCATCTCTTTTTTCTGTGTGATTAATGACTTGTTTGTTTTATGATAATTCATGATCACTTCAATTGAATGAATAAAAATACTTTTGTCCACTAGTTAATTTTATTTATACCATATTTAAGTAAAATTAACTAGTGGAAATTAGACAAAAGTGTTTGCATTCATTTCAATGAAGATTTCTCTTTTCGTCCATCTACTCTAAATATGTCAAATATTGTTTCAGTTTTATAGTCGCAAATAACTATACATCGGCTAACAACAATTGACATTTTCATTTCATTGAACACAATCTGAGCTTAGTTCACTCTGTAGAATCGATAGTATGTTTGTATTTCCTGTATCGATAAGAAAAGTGTATGTTAATAGCACATTGACACGAAGTAGGTTAAAGAAATAAAGTACACTAAACACGCACTTATGTAAGTGCCAGTAGCATTTCGCATCATTGTCTGGTCACAATGGTCAGGTCAAATACGTGATAGGACTTCATCGTATATGAAAACCGTATANTTTGCTGGAAAAGAGGATGACGTTATGAGTCGATCCGATCTAATGGCACATTGATAGAAACTTTATTACCTGAAAAATACGAATTGATGATGAAGGCCATGCATCTGAATTAGAGTTGTTATTAGTAAATTATATTTAGTGATCGAACTGGAATGGCTCTTTTTTTGAAGGTGATTGACAATGTTTCGTGACCTCATTACACATATCTCTGTGATTGTGGAAGAATACCAATTACTGCATGGAGACAAGCGAATATCATTCAACAGAAAACATACAATTTGATGGAAGTATGGTTAAAATAAACTACTGTCATAAAACTCATGCGATGGAGTATGTAGACGACCATTTCTTCAAAAAACACTTTATTGTGAGATTTTCACTAAACAGTTTTACAGAGATGCAAAACGTGTTTCGCCATGTAATGGCTTCTTCAGGCGTATCTTTACTACTAAAGACATGCCTGTGAGATTTTCACTGAACAGTTTTACAGAAATGTAACACGTGTTTTGCCATGCAATGGCTTCTTCAGGCGTGTCTTCACTAGTGAAAACAAGCCTGAAAAAGCCATTATATCGCGAAACACGTGTAAACGCAACAAACTCACAATGAAATGTTTTCTGAATACGTTATGAATTCTTCATCAAGTATCACCATTGAAGTCGTTTGGGTTCATGTGAAGAGTTTCGTTGCAAAAAGAAACGCGACCTTCAAAATAAAATATTTTAAAATGTCCTTAAAAATGTCGATTTCAAATAATGTCGAAAATGTATAAAAGTGGAAATGGGACCATTCAGATTAGGAAATTGTAAAATATTTTTTCATAACATTCGACGAAGATGCATCGGTCTTATAATTTTTAGAAATCAAAAATGAAAACTATCAAGATATATACGTATAAGAAAATAAATATTCAAGAATAAATGCAATATAATTATATACAAATGAAAAATATCATTAGTTTTGACCAGTATTTTTGATTGAATAAAAAAACGCACCTTACTGCAAGTATAAAATGACCCGAAATCTCATAAAATCTTTTGTTTGCGATTTGTTTTGTATTTATAATGACCATTCATTACTTTCCACTATTAGGAATTAGAGCGTAGTAAATAAACTTTTTTATTTCAATCATTAAAATGCTTTTGGGATTTGGAAATGATTTTGCTTCATTAAAGTTGTAATGAATAAAGAAGGATGAAATCTACCGTGCGACTTGGTGCGCCTATTTATGTTTCAGAGTGGCCTGAGAGTACAGTCATCGCCGTATGTAGCACTAAGGGTTGATGATTTTTTAATTATGGTCAATTATAAGTTTAGTATGATAATGCCGTATTTACGTAATTGAATTTATATGAGTTTGTTTTTCAACAGTCTGCATTGCATTTAATTTTGGGTTTATTGAGGAAAGGTAGAAAGACTTATTCTGAAAATGTAATTTATTTGGGTTGAAGATTGAATTTAAAAATGAAAATTTCTTGGCAAACATATTTATTGGAATGAATGAATCTGAATAAAAATATAATTGAAGATATGATCGAAAAAATAACAAAGGTTTAACTCTGACAGATCGAAATCGCTTGTAGAGTTATCACTATCCTCACTGTACTATCGTTGTCACTATTAGCTCGAACACTTATAATGATTTTGTCTTTTTTTCTCAGCCATATATTGTTTCAGTGATGCCCATAATAATTCTATTGGGTTCAAATCGGGATAATAACGAGGCAATGTAAGTACAGTATGTCCATGATTTTCCATAACCCTATCAATTTCATGCAACTTGAATCGTAATTTATGGATTTCATAAATGGAATGGAGGTAAATTTTTATCATATCATCATATTATCATATCATCATCCCATCTTTCTTCAAGGAAGATCAGGATTCAACATTTCTTACAACCAATTTCTGTAGTTCATTTCGCTATGATTGCCGCCCGATTTTGTGTTGGATTTGAATTTCAGATGTAAAATTTTCACAAATCAATGTTTTCCTCCTGCATTCACAATTATAAGTCTCTGCCCTTTTGAAATTGGTGCAAGCATCCCTTCATTCTAATCATCATTCCAACTCTTCTCATGTGTATGTGAAGTATGCAAAAATTGCAAAAAGTTTAGCGCCATAAGAAACTACTTAGGATTTTGAGCCAGAAGTCGCTATGTTTCATCCATATGAATTATTGTTCGACCTTCACGGAATGTCTTCATGTCTATGAAAAAATTTTTTCGCAACTGCTAAATAGCCGGTTTTTCCATAAGCAGTTTTTTATATATTTTTTTTTCCATTTTCCCCCATGTGAACCCAATTTCTTTCAACACTTTCCTGAGATCCCTTGTAACCATTTTCATTAATGCGACGTAATGTGGAAATTTTTTACGAAGAAGGCCTTTTTCTATGTGTTTCTTTATTAGGCGTTGAGAAAGATAACGACTCGCCATTTTCGATTGTTTTCAGTTCACGAGCTATTCTTTAAATGCTACCCAAACCATGTATTGTGTCTAAATCACAATTTCGTGTCTATTCATCTCAACTTCAGATTTATTGTTGTACCCAATATTGCAATGTTGTAAAATGTTGAGATTCTGTGATACGGAGTAAAAATTCTTGAATATTTTACTGATTTTTGTCAATTCATTAAAATAAGCATTTGCAACCATTGACGGATCCACCCAGTTTCAAAGGGGTGGCT